TCATGGCCCTCTTGTTTAAGCTTGTTAGTGTTATCGTCGGACAGTTGTGAAGTAAAGATATCGCAGTTTGACTGTATACAAGTTGCCTTAAAGAAAGTATGTCGAAATCTTAACAGTTATTCGTTGATTTTGTAGAAATTGACCAGAATTCACCTTTGTTTACACGCATCGCTTGGACGTCGAAAAACGACATGCAATGACATTTCAGTGAAATTTGGAAACTTGCTCGTATTTTGGAGCATTTTGTAGGATTTCGATGAAAGTAAAAAGTGTTTATGATAGGATACATTATTCCTAGAGACAACCACAAAGATAAAATAGTGATCTGGTGTATTTTACCGAACAGTTCTTTGTTTGTTTTGCATGATATTTTTCTCTCGTTAGGGACCTTTATTCTTTATATATAGTATTATGAGCGTATATATGGGTAAATGTGGTATATAGTGCCTGTGGTTTTAACATGTATCTTAGCTTGCCTGGTGTAATGAATAAGTAATAAACCTGAGAATTGAAACTATGAGAATAAATTTGTTGTTATTAGTCCCCTTCTATGTTCATTAAGAGGGGACTAAAGGCTGACCCATTTCTGTATGTCAATGAAAGCTGAATTTTGCTATAACTTAAATGGTACAAAAGTAAGGTTCATCATACTGGTATCTGATATAGAACTATACAGAGATTTAGCATGTTATTATAATTTATGCTCCTGAAAGGGAGAGAATATAGTTGCGGTCTTAACCATCTGTCGGTATGGACTCAAGTAATATTCTGGATAAATATCTGTGTTCATTCCATACAGACTTGTACTTTTGGGGGAAAAGGTTGCTCATGGGAGGAAAATATGTTTTTAATGGTGTTTTTGAGATTTTAGTTGATAAAGGAATAAAAACATAGTCTGTACTTAGGAAGACATTTGTCCTTCACACTACCTTGTCCGAAATATGAATATAACTAGATATGTATTGAAGGGATTTTTATGTAAACTTCACAAAGTCATAGAGATTTTTTAAGAGGAAGTGCAATGTTCAAGAAAACATAAGTCTACCTTGCTTCATGTTTTAATTATATTCCTTAAGTTAAAAATGCTTATTCCAAACTATCACTGAATCTACATCAACTTGAACGACTCGAATTTTCCAATGTGTCAAAGAACCATAACTCCATTCTCTTAGTTTTTTAGCTCACCTGTCACAAAGTGACAGGTCAAGCTTTTGTGATCCCTTTTCGTCCGGCCGTAAACTTTTTACTTTAAATGACATCTCCTCATAAACCACTACGCTAATTTCATCCAAACTTCACAAGAATGTTCCTTTGGCTGTCACCTTTAAAAATTGTGCAAAGAATTTAATTCCATGCTGAACTCTGGTTGCCATGGGAACCGAAAGAAAAAAACTTTAAATATCATCTTTAAAAAAAACCCTAAGAGCTAGAGCTTAGATATTTGGCTTGAAACATCCTTTAGTGAGTGTCTACCAAGTTTTTTAAATAAAAGCCCTGGGTCAAAATTGGCCCCACCCCAGGGGTCATTGATTTTCCCTATGTGCATATAGTAAAAAACTTTATAAAATCTTCTTTTAAAGAACCCAAAGAGCTAGAGCTAAGATATTAAGCATGAAACATCATCTAATGAGTGTTTTACCAAGTTTGTTCAAATAAAAGGCCCGGGGTCAAAATTGGTCCTGCCCCAGGGGGTCCATTAATTTTCTTTAAAATGCATATAGTAAAAACTTAAAAAAATCTTCTTTTAAGGAACTAAAAGAGCTAGAGCTAAGATATTTAGCATGAAATATCTTCTAGTGAGTGTTTACAAAGATTGTTAAAATAAAAGCCCTGGGGTCAAAATTGGTCCTGCCCCAGGGGGTCATTAATTTTCTTTTAAATGCAAATAAAAATCTTCTTTTAAAAACCCAAAGACTAGAGCTAAGATATTTAGCAAACATCTTCTAATGAAGTTCTACCAAGTTTATTCAAATAAAAGAACCCAAAATTTGGCCCTGCCCCAGGGGATCATTTGATTTTCCCTATATGATAGTAAAAACTTTCAAAAAATCTAAAGAACCCAAATAGCTAGAGTTTATATTATAAGTTGAACATCTTCTAGTGAGTGTCTACAAAGTTTGTTCAAATAAAAGCCCCGGGGTCAAAATCAAAAACTGGCCCTGCTCCAGGGTTGTCATTGTTTTAATAGTATTTGTTAGTAAAAACTTAAAAAATCTTCTTTAAAAAAACCAATAAACTAGAGCTTTGATGTGTTAGCATGAATCATCTTCTTATGGATGTCTTCCAAGTTTGTTCAAATATAAAAGCCCTTGGGTTAAAACTGGCCCTGCAGGGTGGGGGGGGGGGGTATATACAGGTGAGCAACCTCAGAGCCATCATGGCCCTCTTATTTAATTATCTACCTTTATTATACATGTACTTAATTATGCTTGTCCAGAGAAATACTGGAAAAGAGTTGATGAAAATTTTGATTAAACTTTTACACACAGCGAAAATAATCAAGTGAAAGAAAGTGTTTTTTCAAAGAACCCTAATTTTTGTGTCGCCTTGAAAGGTGAACATAATAGGGGTTACTTTTGTCGGCGGCGTCTGTGTCGTTGTCGCGTCCCCTAAAGCTTGTCCGGAGCATAACTCAGTCACTATAAGTCTGATTGACTTCAAACTTGGTATGCATGCTTCTTTTAATAACCCGAAGTGCAGTGCACAAGGACGGTACTCTGCAGTTCTTATTTTTTTTTAGTTATTGCCCTTTGTTAATTTTCATACTTTAATTTTGTCCGGGCCATTTCTCTTCAACTAAAAAAGCTATGGACTTGATACTTCATAGGATGATAGATCTCATTAAGAAGAAGTGCAGTGCACAAGAACCAGTACTCTGTACTTCCTAATTTTTGAGTTATTGCCCTTTGTTAATTTTCATATTTTATTTTTGTCCGTGCCATTTCTCCTAATGAATAAAAGCCATGGACTTGAAACTTCATAGGATGATAGGTCTCATTAAGAAGAAGTGCAGTGCACAAGAACTGTTACTCTGCATTTCTTATTTTTTGAGTTATTGCCCTTTGTTTATTTTCTTTCTTTATTTTTGTCCTGGTCATTTCTCCTCAAGTATGAAAGCTATGGACTTGAACCATCATAGTATGATAGATCTTATTGATAAGAAGTGCAGTGTTCAGAAACTGCTGCTCTGAACTTATTATTTTTTTAGTTATTGCCCTTTGTTATTTTTCATACTTCATTTTTGTCCTGGCCATTTCTCCTAAAACTACATTGTTCACAAGGCGACACATCCGACTCGCGGAGTTCTAGTTTCTAGCTTAATTTTACAATTATCATCTCTTAAAATACATGTACAACAACTTTTAAATAATGGTTGTCTGGAGTAAATCTTTTCAATGATATCACACTCAAACTAAATACAGTTGTAGAGACTAGTGAGCAGAAGTCTTGTGTCAAATAACCAAAATTCTACATTACTTAGTTTTTTGAATTATCTCCGTATATATTTCATGATACTGTTCTGAGAGAGGATTAAAATATTGAAGGAATTTGATTGAAACTTTATAAACGTTATACAGTGAAAGAGATTAGCATGAGAATTTGCAGTAAACAAAGGCCATTATAAGTTCTAATGACATGGTCACATTCATATAATGTGATGCAAAAAATATTGACCATTTGAGTGTTTACTTGATACTGATACAGAAAATTTGATATATATCACAATTGATTATTTTTTCATAGCTTTGTCTCCCTTTATAATGTCATGTGTTAAAATAGTCAAGCTTGCTGTTTCCTCTGGTAGCTCTAATTTCACTTGTTGCTCTTGTCAAAAAAGGCCAATAACGGTTTATGATCGACCTACACGTACATGTAACCTAAATATTATATTTGAACATGTGTGTCATAGAATAATTGTATCAACTACTGTTCATTTACTGAATTGTGCACTTTATATTTATCAACCGGCACACCCTTCACTCATTGAATTATCTCCCCCGAAATAGAAAAAATAGTTATTTGATCCTTCATACGTCCCAACTGCAGTGCCTTCAGCACCTTTGATTTATTTACCCGTTAATATAGGGTCCGTGAATTTTTACCGTACGTACGAAACCGACTTTCACAGTCATGAATTTTACCTTGACCATCTTCACGTCAATAAATGTTAAATTTAAATGTAAAGACCGCGAATAGGCAAACATTTAAGTTTTGATTATAAAATAAGGAATATTTCAAGGATGATGTGGAGATTTAACCAGACGATAGCTATTTTTATCATGTACCAGTGGCCTGAAGGTGAAACGATATTCAAATATCAAAGTTGCAGTTTTCGGATGTTCAGTTTATCCGGATATATGTTAATTATGTGATGAAATAAAGTGTGACATATAGAATCTATGAGATAAGTGGTTGCTATAATACTTATAAAAACAGATGTAAAATAATTTGAAATTTCAAGCCAGTGAAAATGGACACTTGATGGTTTTGGACAAGGAGGTTGTAGATTTATATCTGGAGTTTGTTATATAAAACTTATAATCCACTAATTAAAAATCCATTCACATGCACTTTAAGGAATTAGATAGACTAATAATACTGACCTAAAGTGTAACAAGTATAGGTCCCAGATGGACCCACAAAATGAAATCCCTAGTTTCGAAATTTGACATTCATTGAAAGACTGTAACAATTGAAACCAAAAGAAAAGTATAGCAATATGTCGGATCAGAGGTGACATTATACAAACATTTGAAATTGTTTAACTAGTCAAAAACCACTGTAAAATTTTTAACAATTCTTCAGTTACACCTATTCAACAAGGGAACTTAATTTAAACTTTACAATAGGCATTGTGCAGAATGATATTTTTCCTGAAGAGAAGTTAATTAAAATACATGGAACTATTCTTCAACATGGTTGATGCTAAGAAATCAATGTAACAGAGTTTTGTGTCAAAGCATTTTGTGACAAATTTTGTTCTAATGAACTGGGAGAACCCCATTTAACTAGATCTCTGCAGAAAGGACAACAGCATAAAAACTAGCAATCTAACATTTGAAGGCTGTAGAAATCTACATGTATGTGCCAAACAATTTCTAGAGGAAGCAGAGCTTAAATATGTATCTTACAGGTAACAATAATTCTGTTAACCATAATTTAATGTTTTATTATCTTAAATGAATCATTTATTAATATTTACCATTTCAATATCATGTGAACAGTTAACTGTGTACTTATGGCATTGAAAAATTCATAATAGAATATAGTGATTTGATGCTGTATTTGGTGGTCGTAAAACTCATTTCAATTTATTTCTAGCATACTGGTATAATAATATAGCATGTGGTAATTTTTTTATACCTTGCCACAGATAAACTTTCTTTTGAAGGATTTATGAACAAGAAATTCCAAAAAGAAAAAACTCAGTGCTGCTTATTGGTCATTATACTTTTATCAAATCCTAAATTTACATTTCAGGTGGGAAGGTATTGTGTATTGCCAAACTTCCCATATTTCATCTATTGCAGTGCTTAAATGTTTAATTCCGGTTAGTATAATTGAAAAGCAATTTGGTTTGTAATGTTTTATATGTTTATTCATGAAGAAAATAGAAATGAGCCGCGTCACGACAAAACCAACATAGTGCGTTTGCGACCAACATGGATCCAGACCAGCCTGCGCATCCGCGCAGTCTGATCAGGATCCATGCTGTTCACTATCAGTTTCCCTATTTGTAATAGGGTTGGTAAGCAAACAGCATGGATCCTGATCAGACTGCACAGATGCGCAGGCTGGTCTGGATCCATGCTGGTCGCAAACGCACTATGTTGGTTTTGTCCGTGACGCGGCTTTCAAATGTACTTTCCTACATATCACATATATACACACTATCATAATAAACAAGTATACATAGAACTTACATGTACACATGTATTTGACTATATTCTTTTTACAAATTATGCAAGAAATAATAATTGAAGTGTACATGTGTAACACTAACAGTAAAAGTATTGGTACATGTGTAACAGTAAAACTATTCTACTTAAATATTTAAGATTTTACAAGCATTAACTGATGTGAGCTATAAACTTTTTGTTAGCACCCCTAATAACATATCCTAGTTATTGGTTAAGTAAAGATATTTCTTCTTTGCTTTAATATTTTGTAAAATTTAACATTTAAAACTTATTAAGATGACATATAAGTTGACCAACTATTTGATAAACCAAAACTATTAAATACTAGTTTAATTAACAAGTTATTTTTTCACATCATCAATTTTAGTTTCATATGAAGTTGGCTGCTTCAGGCATAATTTGTTTAAACCTTGCCAATACCAGAACTTTCAACAGTAAATTTAAAATAAAAACTTTATACATGTAATTGATTTAGATTTTCCTGAATTTCAGGTTTGACAGAGGATGCCATATCTATTTTTGCTGCTTCACGACAAAGAAGATGCACATTCATTTGAACAGTTATAAAATCATGGATCATGTTATGACTAATCACTAACATCTTATGTTATACATAATGTCAAAGTTAAATATATTTGGTGAAGATTGACAATAATATACATATTTTATATAAATCACCAATATAAATGAAGTGACACTTTATCTGGATATTCGACATTGATTATTTAATTATTTGTCTGTAACAATATAAAAGATTTAGTAATGTTTCATATAATAAAAAAGTAAGCCTGAGCATGTTTTCTTAAATTTTATAATTTCATTTTAGTAATGCACTTTCATATAGTTAAGAAATAACATATCCCAAACAGTGATTTTATCAACTGACATCAACAAATTAATGCTGCTTTACCTGAATATTAGCTAAATTGCTTCTGATTTGTTTCCATATTTATCTTCAATGCATCACATTTTTAGTGGTTACATCTGACACTTTGTTTTTTTTCATTAACAAAGGAATGGTACTGAATGTGGCATGAAGAAATTTTGGGCATTTTATGTTTACACTCCTAGCTTCTGTCTGTTCTTCCATTAGCAAATTTGTTTTCAGTATAACTTAAGTTTCCATTTGGCCCATGATCAACAATTTCATATAATGATTGCTAATATTAAGTTGAAAACCCTTTTTAGCTCGACTATACGAAGTATATGGAGAGCTGTCCTACTCGCCCCGGCGTCGGCGTCCGCGTCCAGATTTTAGATTAAAGTTTTTGGTGCAGTAAAATATTTTTCACTATAACTTTGTCATTTCTTTAGGTATCAACTTCAAACTTCAAATATATGTTTTTATCATCAACCACATCTTATGTGACAAGGTTCATAACTCTAGCACCAATATGTTCAGATTTATCTCCCCTTGACTTAGAATTTTTCTTAAAAGATACTATTTTTTAACTTATACTTCTTTATTTCTAAAAGGGATCAACCTCATACTTCAAATATATGTACCTTATCATCATCCCCATCGTATGTTGACAAGGTCATAACTCTAGCACCAATATTTTTTCAGATTTATCTCCCCTTGAACTTAGAATTTTTCCTCAAAAAATACTATTTCTTACTGTTTCTTCTTTATTTCTTTAAGGAATCACCTCATACTTCAAATATATTTAAATTATTTCTAGAAATTTTCCCCTTGATCTTGGAATTTATGTTAAAACAAATGTTATATTTTTTACTATAACTTAATACTTAATTATACATAATTGATTTTACCTTAGAAAACTGAAAAAATGATTTCCCTCTAAATACTTTTGTAATTGATCAACCTTTTGCTGTAAAAAATTTCATAAGATGACCAGTCATATTCAATACATGACCCCATTATTTTTGGGGTAACATCTCATTAACTAGAAATGTGCCGTCATGCCATGGATGCCCCCTCATGCAGCCAAAATTTCAGATGTTCTTATATTTAAATGTAGTTCCAAATTTGTTTTGCACAAATTATTTTTTTTCATTTTAAGGGTTCAAAGCCCTTAAAACTATTCAATGTTTACACAAACTATTTTTATACAAAGTTCAAGGCATGTACATGTACAACCTTGGGGAGATAATGAATGGGAACTGAAAATTTCCTTTTTTTAAAGTAAAAGGGGGCATAACTCTGACAAAAATCATCGAAACATGACAAATTATAATGCTTTCCACTTAGTGGTGGCCTTATAATAATTGTGTTTTAAGAGCTTGCAGGCTTGAAATCTATTAAAACAAGACTATCAATTTTTAGAAATGAAATCCATTTTAGTACTTTTGTGCCCTTCTTAAAAAATCTTATGTAAATTTGTAGAGGGTCACATAAGAATCATTTCAGTTGAACATTGTTTTTAAATCTGTTCTGTGGGAAAAGATTTTGTTGACAGAAATCTTTGACTGTCAACAGACATCATGTCATAACAGTACAGCTTGATTGATAATTTAGTACAAAATTGACTCTGAATGTTTATTACACAAAATCATTTTAACTATTTTCCACTGTCTTTTATAAATTTATAAATTGAACAGAAAGTAATGAAACTGTATTAAAAAATTGCATTTAAATAGTTTTGAGTTCTTAATAAATATCTATCATTGCCCTTACATCTTTTTTATGCCACCCCAGCATCTGTATAGAATTATAATATCAACCTTGAAAATTGACTTTGGGTAAGATTTAAAAAAATATTATCAAGATACAAATAGTGTTTTCTCAGTTTAAACCTATGCAGAAGTTGAATTCCCCTTTTTTTATATATGAGAATACTTTCTTATTACTTAAATCAGACCTAGATTTTTTTGACAAGATTAATATCTTGTAAATTCAGGAAGTGTTTTTAATATTCTAAAGTTTTATTTGTTTAACCTTATACATTTTCAAATATCTAATAAGGGGATATTATACAGTGCTTTACATGTAGAATGCACTATTTTTCTTTGTTAAGAAGTGATTCATAGTATTTAATTTGTATTCTAAGTTTTTCTTCTTTAACTCAAGAAGTTCTGGGTCACAGAAACTGAAATTATGAAAGAAATAACTTCTATTAAGACATAAAACATTTTTTTTTATTTTAGCTACTATTTGAATACTCCCAAAATTATTTCAGCCAATTTATCATAAACTGCTTTGTTATAAAGTTTTATCAGTATTGTAAGATAAATTAGGCTTCTTATATTTAAAATCTATAAATAGAACTATACAGTAAATTGATTGACAGAATTTATGTAATATTGATAGTATTAGTAAATGTATATACTTAAATACAGAATTTAGTAAGATGAACCGAGACATGAAAACATTACACATTTTTGTGAATATATGCAATTTCTGAATTGAATGATTTGGTCATAATTGTAACCATACATAGCAGACATACAGGCATGTAGCCATAATAATTAATAGATAGCCCTGTGTTTGACAGTGAGATTCTCCCATTTTTTTTTTACAGATCCTGGTTACTACAAACACATGTTTGTAGCATTTGAGTTACAGTCCTCTATTGCTGACGCAAATTTTTTTTGTTTGTAACACTTGTTATTCCTGTGACATATGAATAAGTGTTATATCTTATATAAGTTCAAATACATATGAGCCGTGTCACGACAAAAAAAACATAATGGGTTTGCGACCAGCATGGATCCAGACAAGCCTGCGCATCCGCACAGTCTGATCAGGATCCATGCTGTTCGCTATCAGTTTTCTTTACTTGTTTTTAGGGTCTGTAAGCAAACAGCATTGATCCTGATGAGACTGCGGCGGATGCGCAGGCTGGTCTGGATCCATGCTGGTCGCAAAAACACATTATGATGGTTTTGTCATGACACGGCTCATTTATGGGATAAGTATATCACTTTTTGTCATTTTGTTGTATTTAAGAAATGTTTTTTTCTTTTTATTTGCTTTCAAAGTTTCAACCTTCTTTTTTCTGGCAATTTGTGGAAAGTAATATTTTCAATACTGAAAATGAGTGTTATTAACACATCAATGACATTTTTCAAAAGAAAATACTTTATTGTTTGTTTTTTGGTTGGTGTTCTTTGGAGTAATTTTGCAACTCATTTTATTCTTTTATATAAACTGCAGGGTAACTTCGGGTGCCAGGTGATCACAATTTAAACTTTAAGAATAAAAGCTTAAAAAATAATTGTAATTTGTATTGAAACTTTCAACGAGAAACCTAAATATTTGTTGATTCCAATGGTGAAGTTTGTAAAAAGATCGAACAAAAAAAAATGGTATTATCTTTTGAGAATTAGTGTTACACTATTATTGAATTACATACAGACTTTTTATAAATAGATTTTTTACATTGAACATAATGAAAAGTGTTAATGCATGTATTGCATATTGAGAGTAACAGTCAGGGGACTATCAAAACCGGACAAACCATCAAACCCAGATGGCCCCAAAGTGCCCTATTCAGTTTTCCTCTTTGTTTAGTGGTTGTCAATCAGTCAGCCGCCTTTTTATCAACAATAAATGCATGTTTCTTCTATAATTTTGCAATTAAATTTATTTCAACTAATATAAATGGTAATACTTAAATGTCCATTCAAAGAATATTGCCTTTGAACAATTTGGAATAGTGCATTACTTGACCTCTTATACTAATACTAAGCTACATGTATAATCATTTGCAGTGTATTGTAAACAATAAATTTTGAATAAAATATCCAAAAAATTCAGCATTTGGCTTCTGAAATTTTTGTATATCATGTTAAAAATAAAAAAATTATAAACCATAGGTTTTATCTGGATTAAATCACGCCATGTAATATCTGTCCAGACACATGGTAGTATGGACAATTTAGGTAATTTTTATACCCTCCTCAACAGGACTCAAATTAAGTGTCAACATACTCAGATACAAAAAACTTGTAAACGTGGGAGCCTTAACTGACAGACTGAATTACTTGATACAACTTATATTTTATTAAGCAGAACCAAGAACTTGGTAAAAAACAACAGGATTTTTAGAGATTTTATCCAGTTGATATATTATTGATAATTACATCTACAAAAATAATCCTTACTGTCATTAAATTTGTGATTCAGAACTCTGTATCTGCTACCATAGCCCTCTACAGTTTCTCCTAATAAATGGGCCAGCAGAACGCAATCCTGTTCGCTGAAATTCTGTGCCATTTCATGATTCCTTCTATGATACCGTCTGAGCACTGTCAAATTTGACAGTTCTATTTTTAGCCGAGGGAAATTCCGAAAAAATTATCGTTGAACATGTGAAGTCAACAAAAACGACATGTTTTTGAAGCATAAGAAAATCCTCGAACATATGCCCCCAAACCATGTCCACTAGTGTTGAACCTCCATTTTCCTGAAATACCGTTGTATAATCCGTTACATATCCGCTAATAAATCCATTTCACGCGACATTTCAATTCCCTATGTCGATTTCCAAAGTCAGTGTCCGCCATCTTGGATTTTCTCTGGCAGTCGGTTACACGGAAAGACCGATGAAATTTAAACGAAATTTTTGACTTAAGGATTTTTTTCCCTTAAGATTTTCTTACCTAAGAAAACACCTAAGGTGATATTTAAGGGAAATATTTAAGGAAATTTTTACCTTAGGGAAATTATTGGACTTAAGGATTTTCTTCCCTTAAAACTTAAGATTCTTTATGAATACGGCCCCAGGTATACATTTATCACGTGTAATTGCCAAGATATACCTGGAAAATCGTTTATTTATACATTCAATATCTAAATAAATATTCTGGTATAAATCTTATAAACACTTGCAGTCTGGCAGGTATCAGGAGCCAGTATGTATATGTAGTAGAGTATATAGGTATTTCACAGGTTAACCGAGTCTGTCATTTTCTAATTTGATGATTTATACTTAACCTACTACCTTATCATATGACT